GAGACTGCCAAAAAGATGTTTCACTGTGTTTCATTGACTATGCAAAGGCATTTGACGGTGCGGATCATAACAAATTATCGCTAACATTGTGAATAATGAGAATACCAGAACTGATTTTGCTCATGTACAACCTGTTCATAGGTCAAGAGGCAGTTACATACTTATTCATTCTGTATGTTGAGCAAATAACCCAAGCAACTGAACTATGTGAAGAAAAACATAAAGACTCATTCACAACGGTGGTGTGCAGAGGACACAACCTTGTGTGCTGAAAGTGCAAAGGACTTGAAGCACTTACAATGAAGATGAAAGACTATAGCCTCCATCATTGATCGCATCGCAACGAACAGATTCCATCTCCACTAAAACAGAATTCTCACCAGTAGGCTAATAAAGAACATAAATAGAGGAAATATTGACGTTGTCAAGGATTTTGTTTTACTTGGATTCACAGTGAATGTCCTTGGAAGCTAAGTCAAGAAATCAAATGACATATTGCATTGGGAAAATCGGTGGCACATATTGCATGTGAAAGCTGGACAATGAATAGGCAGATCAAAGAAGATCAGGTGTCTTTATGATGCCGGTGAAGAATGTCACATGCTAGGTACACCCACTGGGGACTGCTAGAAGAAGGGACAAATCTGTGTCGGGAGAAATAGAGCCAGAATGCTCCTGACCTGTGAGGATGTTCTTTGAACGTGCCATCAGGAGGGACCAGTCCATGGAGGAGGACATCATGCTTGGTAAAATAAAGGCTTGGTGAAAAAGAGGAAGATCGTCAGGTAGAAGCAACAATAAGCTCAAACATCACAGTGACTCTGAGGATGATGCAGGCCTGGGCCGTGCTCTCTTCTTCATCGACAGGAATCGGAACCAACTCGATGGCATGTAACAAGAAATAGAAACCAAGATAATCTTTTTTTTTTTTTTTTAATCATTTGGGATCTTCAGTAATTTCTAAGTGTTGTGTCGTGATGCCCTGAGGTGCCCTGGTGGCATAGTGGCTGCAGGCTGGGCTGCGGTCTGCTAGGCCAGCGCCATACAAATCCACCTGTCACTCCTCGGGAGGAAGACAGGCTTTCTATTCCCATAAATCATACCAGCCTCCGAAACCCACAGGGGACGTTCTATCATGTCCTGCAGAGAGTCTATGAGTCAGCATTGACTCCATGGCAGTAAGTTTTTATTTTTATTTTTTTGAGTGATGAGATCAAAAGTTTGAAAACAACTATGCTAAACAGTACTTTGGCACATCAGTGATTCACAGCATTCCTACCAGTTCTCAAAAACCGAGTCATGAATCGTCAAGGCTATGTGAATTGCTTACATGTTCTTATTTATCCCCACTGGTTCTCATCCTTGCTGTACCTCTCCCGCCACTTCCAAACAGTTGCTCCATTTTGTACATGCAACTCTGATCCTACCAAACTGGGCCTACTACTGTCCACTTTCTTCCCTGCCAGTAAAGCCCCAGCTTTGTTTCCTCTGCTGCCCATGGCCTTGACTTTCAGGGCAGGATATGACTCTCTCCAGGCTGGTGGAGGAATCTTATTTTTCTTATAGATCAGTAACGACCTCATTCCCTTTGCTACGTGATGGGTTTAAGAATGTTCCTGTGATGAGGCCGCTGGGGAGGTTACGCTCCATTTTTAAAACCGAGCAAAAGGCAGGGTTGATTCCCTCTTTCTGCATGAATGCTGTTGGTCCATGACTCCTGGACCCACTGCAGCCATTTGGGGCCCAACAGGAGAACCAACCTAGTAAACAAGCCAATCTGTAGAGGATGATAAAGCAGTAAATTAGCAGGATATTGTTGTGCTAGAAAATTACCTAGTCCTACAACTGTCCAATTTCTTTATGTCTTATCAGACACTTCTAAATACATTTTCTGCGGCCTAAGCCAGCTTAGTCTGAGTTTATATGTACTTTTAGTTGAAAACATCAAAATCTCTCTTGACATTGATACGAATTATTTTCACTTGTCTTCCCTCCCCAATCTCGCTTTCCACCTTCTGATTCCCATGGGTAAGAAGCTAGTGTTGCAGAGGTAAGAGCACAGACTTTAGACCCTAGGTTCCCAAACTTAGTGGTCTACCGCCTTGTTCTCAGGGGAAAAAATTGCTCATGGTGCCTGGCAATGAAAAACTTTTGTACTATAGCCAGTGGTGGAATCCAAATAACTTAACTGGTTCACAGCCCTAATAACTGTTTTAAGTATATAAAAAGATATACTTAAAGGTAGTTTATTATTGCATACAATTAATACTTAGAACAATAAAAGAGGTACACAAAACTAGATTATACAAGTTTTATAATATTAATAAAATATTAAATGACAAAAACAACAAAACTGTTGTATTGATATTTCCATATTGTTTTCCTGATTGGCAGCCTCTCTTGCAATATTCTTTACTTTTACCTGAGCATCATCAGCTGTGTGATTTATCCTTAACCGTCTTTTCACTGTAGAGTAGGATCCATTCCTTTAGAGGTAGGCCAACTATGAAATGGTCACTGTGTTTGATGTACTAGAAACAGGTCACTTCTCTTCTCCGAACATACTCTGTTCATCTTTGAAAACCCCCTTTCCACTTCTGCTGATCTTTACAGCAATTATGTCTGACAATATTTTAGCTCTTTGAACACTTTTGGAATTGCATGATTCACTCATAATATCTCATGGTAATATAGTTCTGTCTAGTCTTTTATGCCTGTGGATGGAATGAACATGGGTGCTTAGAATATGCTGTTGTGCAGGTGAATGTTGAAACAGAGTAAGGAATGTAAATTTGTGATTTCCACATTAAGTGGCTGCCCAGTTGCCCACCTTAGAGAGAACCCTAATTATAAGTGCCATTTTCACAATGGGTTCACTGAACTCAACAAAGAAATTAACTATGGGTTGTACTGAACTGGTGTGAACCAGCTGAATTCTACCTCTGATGGTGGCATATCATCCAGGATAAAGTATAGGTGTCTGCTTTACTGCGCTCCTGGTTTTGCCCACTTTGGGAAACACTGCTGTAGACTAGACTGGTTAGGCCTTGGATTCCACTCAAGTCACATCCTAGCTGAAGCTTAGGGCAAGATGGAATCTCTCTCTACCTTGATTTCGTTTAAAGTCTGTATAGTCTATTGCATAGGGTTATGGTGAGGCTTAAAGGAGTTGATATGTTTAAAACATTTAGAAGGCTGGGTAATTCAGACAAGGCTAACTTTCAATGACTGGTATTTTTGGTTTGCTTTGATTTTTGGTCATAGAAGTTGTTCAAACTCAAATATTAGTGTAAGCCACATGAAATGACCGACAACCAACCATTCTGACTGCCCAAACCAGCAATTTCATGTGATTAATCTAATGCTACTGGAAGTTATTTGCCAGAGCTACAAAAATGCTGGAAAACAAGAGCCGCCAAAGAACCAGCTCAGCTCAGCATGTAACCATTGGAGAGTCAAACAGGTCTGCTACCAAGCAGCCAACTTCTCTTACAAAGACAGACTTATACGCAGGCGCCAAGAGCTGCAAATCAAAACAAGCAAATGCGATTATGTGTGCATGGCTTGAAAACAGTAAAGGGCTGTTCAAATATTATTGTAAAAGAAAGGATTGTTCGCCATAAGCAATCTTTAGTGCCTCATCCATGAAAACTCTACATTTCAATAGTATGATGTTTGACACTTCAGCTTTTCACTCGAAAAGACCCCAGGGTAAAGGGATGAATGGGCAGCGCCATCGTCAGTGTGAGTTTTGTTCATCTCCTGATCCTGGCTGGATCACGTGGACTGGAAGAAAATATGTTTTCTTAAGCTTTTGAGAGCCTGATAACTTAGGTGTCTTTTTTCATTGAATTGATTTAACTTTAAAGTAGAGGATCATGACACAGCAAGAACTGTGTCCTTTTGACGCCCTCCCCAGGGGATAATAAACCCTCAACTAGCTAACATGAACTTCTCAAGCCCCAAGAATCCGGCCATTATGTGCAGGAACCACTCACTACCATGCATACACAGAGCAGTCGACTCCCAGGTGCTCCCTGGTCCACTCTGCGCCCAAGTTCACAGGCAGAGGTGCTAAGGAGCAGAAGCTAGAGAGGAAGGGCCAGAAGAAGGTGGAGATCTCATATCACTGTGCTGTCCACTTCCTCTTGGGATTGGGAGCTACCGGTTTTTGCAGGAGAAAAGGCCCTTCCGACTACCCAGGTGTGACCCCCTCATCCAAGTGAGCGAACACAGAGGTGGCTAGGGCGTCGGAGCAGCTGCAGAGTATGGGCCACCAGGAGAAGAAATAGTTCACTCGCTCTAATGGAGGCCTATGCCCTGGAATGCTGATGTGGGCCTATTCATGCCCATGGAAACCCTCCCTGCAGAGACCTGGCGTAGCTCCAGGGGCTGAGCTACACTGGTACTGGGAGCCCAGCCAGCCCGCTCAGGAGCTCCCTGGTGGTCTGAGACCCAACCCAAATCTTCCTTTTGTTTCCCAAATGGACTTTATCCCAAGCTCTAGGGAAAAGACTATGAACAGTGTTCAATTTGAACCAAACAGAAGTCTGCCGGGACCCC